CTAGACCTGCCCCCCTCCCCACTGGCATAACCCCGTGGGGCAGCGACAGATAAGAGCAGCCCTCACCTATGGCCAAGGGCTGGGTGACGATCACCAACCCCCTCCCGCAGCCTGGGTCCCAGCCAGCCACCCCCTGCCCCTGCTACCAGCCTGCCCCGGGCACTTCCCTGGCCTGGAACACACACCCCAGCTCATGGCTGACACCTTCCGAGAGCCGTGGCGTCCTGCCCTCCCTGCCAGCGCCTCCAGCTCTTCCAGTGAAGGGTGAGGCTGGCACCAGGACCCTTCCCTGCGGAGCCTCACCGATCCCCCTGTTTGGAAGGCCAGCCTCAGTTTCCCCTGAGGGGGTGAGGACAATTCCTAGGGACCTGACCCGACATTTCTAGTGGAGGAAAAGCAAAGGCCCAGGGGGCTCTAATGCCTCACTTGCCTCAGTTTCTACTCCCCCACTTTGCCAATTACGCCTCACCGCAGCGGAGGCTCCCGGCCCACCCACAATCAGGTGAGCAGGAGATCACGGTGACAGCCAACACCTCTCAGCGAGGCAGCGTTGTGCAAGGGACCCGGCTGGGCAGCAGGCTCTCCGCACACCCCGCCCCAGCTCCTAGCAACAGCCGAGCGAGGAGGCTGAAATAAATGGGTCACGAGGCGCGGCGTGAGGCTCCCCGGCCTGCGGATCACACGAGGCACTGGAGCCCGGGGCCGCGGACGTCACTGCCACACGTGGGTCCAGCTGCACGGCGCCTGGCCTGCACAGTCCCCCCCGGCTTATGAATCTGTTTCTCCCCAGCCACGTGAGACAGTGCGAGGGGGCAGGTCGGCTCCTATCTGGGGCCCCCTCTCTGTTGCTCCCCCCCCAATCTCCTCCCCAGCCAGTTCCCTTTGCCACGAGGAGGTTTTGCACCTGTTCAAAGCAGGTTGGTAAAACAGGTGCCTGCCACCTGAAGGATGCTCTGGTTCCATCTAAACTAGGGATGTGAAGGACGAGTTGACTAGTCGCTTCCCCTCACCTTGCTGTCTCTGTCATCCCTTAGCACATAGCACAGACAGGAAGTATCAGATGTAACCTCTTGGCAGCGAGTTGTGGTTAGCTCTAAGGTTTCTGAATCCTAAGCATGTCACCTGAGGCACACTGAACATATACTATGAATATCATAACCAGATGGGACACTATTCTGTTGCATGGAAGCCAATGGAACTACAACAGTTTACACAAGCTGACAATCTAATCATAACTGTCTAATATTTTGTTATCGTAACTCCACAAAGTCGTGCTCAAGTATGGTATAGCGAATCGAAAAGTCGATGCAAAAACGCATCGACTCTTCAATTCGTCAACTACCCGATACGTAACATCCTTCGTATAAACCCTCTGGGGGACGCGTCAGCAGGGGGGCAAACTTCAGTTTAAAATGTTCATCTGTTCAACTAGGTGTTGACTGTTCAGCTGGAAAACTGGCCAGCAGTGCAACGCGGTGGGCCCGGCCGGGCCCGAGCCGCCCCCCCCCCCCCCGCCCCC